CGCAATCGGCTGGTGGTCTGAGACGGCGGCGGAGGCGGCGGTGCTCTCAATCTTGTCCTTCAGTTCCTTGTGTTCCTCGCGAAGAGCTTTAACCGTTTGCTCCACTTTTGATGAGTCCTTCTCTCGGAGGACACGACTCGTGTGAAGACAACGAATCCATTGGCCATTCAATGCATTTGTGGCCACACTTTCACTCAATACAAAGACACGTCTATTACTATAACTATAATTATTATCATTTAATTTACGGCTAAAAAATAAACTATTATTTAAATGTCTAGTCCTTAAGGAGTCGTCCAATCGGTGGCTATTTGTACACAATTTACACAAATTATAGACATTTTTATTATAAACGAAACGATTGTTTGTCGACAAGTATTTGCGGTAAACAAATGGCTTTGACTTCAAGTGAATTAAAACTAATTGATTGGACTTTTTTGATAGCATTGACAACAATTCATACATCGTTTCAGTCAATCAGATGTTAGGATTGTTTACCAAATAATATCAATATTAATATTCAATGAAATGAATGGCAAACTAATAATGACACCAATAATACTACTTATGAATTAAATAACCAGAAAATCATACGATTTTTGAAACACATTTACAATTAGTAGCGATGAATGAAAACAGCGGTTAACATGTATTGAGTAATGCATTCATTCAATGCTGTAATCAATGGATAACGCAATCACTGAATGTCTCAACACTTTTGCTTTCGACGCATACCTTCACCACTCGATTGCGTTGGCATTCAATGCGAGACAATGTTTCTCACATACGTTACTCACTTGACGGGTGTTTGGCGTCAATAATGTTCACACATTTGACGCAATCCTCACTTCTTGTTACACCACATCCATGAGTGTACAGCTATTGTGGCGCTCTTCGCAAACTATGTACGCCAAGTGGAGGGAAGGGTTTGCCTGAACTGTAAGGGCGGATGGGTTTAAGTGGATAAGAACCCAAATTAAACTAGATTAATAAATACAGTACTTTCATAATTATATTGCATTCTATATGGCCTAAAACTAACGGCAATAGACGGCAAATAATAAGACTATAACAATAGGGAAATTAAGTTTGCACTTTATTTGTAACATTAAAAGCTATTTTGTTTAATTTTATCTATTCTGTTGATTACTATTGTATTTATATTGTTGTATAAATTTAATTAGTTTTCTAAATTATCAATAATTTCTATAATATGTTGTTATATAACTGTATGTAAGGGTAGATCTGATCAATAAGTTTGCTGTAGTGATGCGCTGTATTGTATTATGCGATTTCATTTGCATACACTTTTACTACAATTATCATCAACATTTGTTATTGCAATACACGGTTACATTCCTATAACATAGTATATTCTTATTTAATATTACCGGTTATTTGTAAATATTAAAATAAGGTATTAACTATTTAAGTGTTGTTTTTTATAGATATCTATTTTGTATTATAAGTTTGGAATAACGTTATAATGTAATGGTTTTCAAGAACTAAGAAACTGGTTTCTATGCTAATTATTTTGTGCTTTAATTGAGATGTTATAATAATTGGCAAGACTTTGAGATATTAATAACTGTTAAAAATAGTAATTTGTTAAATATAGCTCAGAGTAGAGATCATTACTGATAATTCTTAACAAATTCTTGTGATTAAAGTATTATATAAGACACAGTATTTTAAGGAAGTAATGCATTCTATATTAATATAAGTAAACATTCAAATGTTGTTGAAGTAAAATTGCATATTTGCTCATTTATAACAATTCTATAAGCAGTAGAATCTATTTGGCCTACAATTTCAATTGACATCACATTTGCAATATAGTTTCTAGTAAGCAGTCACCATAATCAATTATACATATTCATTCTTCTAATATTCATTTGTGATATTTTCATCTTATTGTGTAGTTTTTCATTAAAATGATATATTTATTTGCTAACAAATTATAACATTTAACTTCAATTTAGTCAATCAATATTTACTTCATTCAAAAAAATAAAATCAGATTCAGAATAAAATAATTGAAGAATTGTGTTAAATCTTAAGTGAAATTTGTAGCAAAGAATTTAGTAAAAAGCATCCAAACGTGTTTTGCACTCACTGTACTCAATTCATAATTCTTTGATTTTATTCAAACATAACACAATATTTTACTTTTTTGTGATTTCAATTTTTATAACATTTATATTTAGAATTCGTTTAAAATGACTGATTTTAATCTATTCTGTAATTTTTAATTTTGTTGAACACAATTATAATACTGTGATAATAAGTAATGCACTAACATATTAAATTCCCAATAAGTGTATTGAGAACTGGAAGTACTGAATGGTGCGCTTATATCAACGCCAAATCCAAGGCCAGAATACGCTCTCTTTAGTGGTTTATATCACATTTGATATGAATTAGTCCTTATGTCTCATTTCGATCACAAATCTCATACTTATCTCACAATACTTACTATTATCTCAATTTATACAAAGTATCAAAAATAAAAAGATTGTTATAAGTTATATCAAAAATTGAATATTTATTTTTGTATGCAAACAATTAATATATATTTTACTAAATAAAATTGATTTGAAATTATGCTAAAAACAGATAACTTGTACAATTAATGACTTAATTGGTTTTAAAGTGTTCTCACTTTTTATATAAAAATTCATAATTAGTCTGGTTTTGCAAACACTACAGTCCAGTCCTTCCAATAATTGTAGTAAACGTCAGAAAATGATAACTAAAACTCCAGTTATTAATGCCTTGTTTTGTGTCATAGCATGAGATGTCGTGTAAAATGTCTAATAATTGCTTTAAAACCAATTATCTGCTAAATCACGGACTCGAGGGCTAAGTGTTTAGCAGATTCTGTGTATTATCTGCAGTACTTGTGATCACATTTGGATGCGTTACAGACGTGTCTAACACGGAATCCCTTTTATTATCCCATTTGGCTTCAGATGTGTTTAAATGTGAGGCAAAGTTAGGCAAATGGGTTGCACTGGAGATGGAGTGAGTTTTCTGAACATCTTTTGATGTCATCAGATATTTGAACAATTCATAGACAGACCATGAGATAGCGGTGGCCGGCATTGAATACAGCACTCGGGCCTGAAGTCCTTGAAAGTAACCCTTAGGTCCACAACACATATAGATAGTGGTGGCGGCGTTCCACAGACCCGTCACACTGTTCTGCTTCGATGTCTTCAACGTTTGCTTTTCCTGAGTGTTAAGAAGTGTTTTGCAGACATCCAAAGGCGTTGTGACGGCTGCTGCGAACCCACCAGCGATGGCACCCGACATCATATGCGCTTTAGGGCTATAATTCCTCTCACTATTTGTCATCTCTTGCATAAACTCATAGGTAATGAAATGCAAACTCTGTGTCGGAATATTCATCGATATGGATGTCATATAACTTCGATAGAAAGCACGCAATCCTTCCCTCCGGTAGACATCGAGAAAGCAATTCATAGCACTCTTATAGGGACTGTTGAACACTTGCATCCGTGCTTTCACTACTTCTGCCGGATTCATAACAGCGTCGTGTAATAGAGTGGCCAAACATCCGGCGCCGCCTTTAGATAAACACATTAATGTAAAACAGTGTACAAAAGGCCAATAAATGGTATGTAAAGTACAAACCCTGGGCAATGGGATGATGAGCGCCGGTCTCGGATCCGCTCAAAACTCGCTTCATTTTCTCATAACATGAGAAGTAGAGGGCGTGTGCGGGTCCGGCGCCCATCGTTACCGCCGACACACCCCTTATCGGTCTCAGCAGTCCTTCGTGTCTAACCATCTTATAGAGCGCTTCCGGTACTGAACGATACGAGGCCTTCGGGTTTGGATACAGGCTTTGCATTCGTGTCTTCATTTGTAAATACAAAACAAATGGTTAACAATATGTCTGACATAAACATATGGAGTGAAAAGTGATCATTACTTTGACTGAATCCAAGGGATACATCACCACGTGTTCCATCACACCAGCGATGGCACCGGCAGTCATGTGGATCTTCACATCACTGGTCGGAAGTGATTCGTACTCTTCGTTCTCCATATTGTGTCCACACTTGTCGACCACTCAATTGATCCGACCATTTGATCCGCACATCACAACACATACACATTCACTCATATTTATAACTGAGTCACTCGTGTCCAGTGATTGTCTTCGGGGATCAGATGATGATCTCAGCGATGGCTATACACACAAACAACAGGTCTTTTTGGTTGGTTTGAGATTTGGTTGAATTGAAAGACTGAATGAATGGATGAATGAAAGGATCGATTGTCTCAAGTGTTGGCAAATGAAGTGTAAGTTTGAATTGAATGTGAATTTAAGTCATAATTGAGTCAATTTTGTTGAATATATTGCGAACACATGTTATGTCTAACAGTAATACATAACTATTGAAGGCATCACTCGTTTGTACGCAAACTCTTGCCATTCATTACGCTTTCAATGCATTTGTCGATCAAATACTGCATTCAATGCATTGACTGGAAATGCGATCAAATCATTAGAAATCACTTTTCATTAGAAAAATCTATTTCAATGTCTTTTACTAAATAGTGATTTATTAATATATTTATTCATTCATTTCGTAATCAAATGATTTTACAGTAATATAAAACTTGCCATCGGTTTACACAATAATATCAATCAGTTTTTTAGATATAATTTATAACATTTAACAAATGGTTTTCGAAATACTTTTTCTTATATTCGCTTTTTTCGGTACAAAAACTATATTAATATATCATTAGATAATTTATTTGATAATTTTTGTTTGAATTTCATATATTTTTGTGATATTGAGTACACATTAAAGTATTAAAGTGTTTAGAAGTGTAGACTATATACAGACTAGGAAATACATAATCTAATAAAACAAACAATGTCAATTTTAAGTAAATAGCTAGGACAAATATTCTTTTTTATAAACATATTTCTAACGTAAATGGTTTGAAAATAATTAGTTATCAGTAATTAATTACTGGTTTTGTAACCGTACGACCGAAATGAACATTTGTTTTAATCCATTTATATAAAACTTTTACACAATAATTTTGTTCATAAAAATGTGTTTTATTTTGATTTATTATTTAAATAGACATTCTCTTTATATAAATTACTTTCACCATATTTTAATTGTTTTTTATTGGTATTTAAAAAAGTGATTCGCGATACTAATGAACAGTTATACAACCATTTTAGAAAACTTAATAAAAAGATTATATAATTTACACAATATTTAAGGATTTGAGTGTTCCCACTCCTACACCCCCTCCACACATATTCCACACATATTTTATATAATTTGTGTTGATTTTGCAATATTTTGAGAGGAAGTGTCTGTAATTTGATTTTTACAATTAATAAATATAAAATCAATTACTGTATTTGCAATAAAATTAAAAATATAAATGTATTTAAACTCAAATATAAAAATCTGGGTTTAATTGTGTTTATGAAACTATTTTTTAGAATTTGAGTTATAAAGCAATCCGTTTTATACTATTGAAATGACTTTTATTAAATTAATTTACTATTGCCTAGATCAAAATTACAAAACCTTCAATGACAATATTATTTTAATGACAATAGTCAAGTACAGATACAAAGTTAGTTTTAATTTATTGAAAATCATTATGATATTTTCGAATGTTTTTTTACTTTATTAAGTATTATTACTTTGTTAAATATTACTTTTATAATGTTATCATTATAATTTAAAATTTGAAGAGCAATTACAGTAGTTATTTCATGTGCATGAAATATATTTTAGAAAACTTAAGTTAAACGATGTATTGAAATTCATTGATGTAAATTATAACTGTACTATTATGTATTATAACAACCATGTTAAGAATTAATTAAAGTTGAGTATATGTAAAATAAAATTTATTTCGTTGTTAAATCTGCTTAAATATTATTAAAATTGGTTAACTTATTACATTTTATAAAAATTATTTAATCCTATATAACCGCAATTATTATAAAATTATTTAATTTATTATTATAATTATCAAGAATTCTGAATTCTGACTTGTGAGTAATATTAGATTATTATAACAAAAATTGATTAAAACATATTTAATAAATTATAATTATATCCAAGTTTTATTCAATATTTCCTTATTTCCTAAAACGATAGAAATATTGATATAAAATGTATACAATTTGGGAAAATAGATGCAAATTCAATGTAAACGACAAAAGAGATCGACAAAAGTGTTTGAATTCTTGGAAGTGATATATAGTATGTATCCAATGACAACACTTGTGTCCAAAACAAAGCTTTCGTGTAATAATTACAATGATTGCAAACCGATTTCATATTTATTGTCATTTATTTGCTTTAATATGAATAATCATGTGTTTTATACGATACAGTATTTTATAAATAGTCTTTACAAAGATGTTCAGCCAAACAATACCTTTGCCTCAAATCCAAAGAATCGGTTCCAAAGATGCAAAAGAAGAGTGGAAAAGAAGGACTTCATATCAGTTCAAGTCTAGCTTTGATTCGCCAAACAATGGTTTGAATGTGAATTTTGCTAAAAATAAAGACAGATCTGGTCTTAGGATTGAGAAACTATTGCCAAAAGATTCAAATATATTGCAAATGAATCGAAAAGTGAATACAAAAGTGAGAGCAAAATCAAGTGTCGGAAGAATATCGCAGAACGCGTCCAATGCTTTGCCTGTCTTTGGAGATCATAAGGCAATTCTCGAAGGATCACAACTCTTGGAGTTGTTTCATAAACTCATTCATAATAAACAAATCCACAGCAGTTTCAGTGCTCAAGAAATTACTCAAATTAATGTTAAAGCAAACGAATTACAAAAACTTCTGCGACAAAAATGTAAGACTAGTATTAGAGACGACTGTTTTAGTCGTTTAAATAAAGCCAACGATATTTTACAAGAATTGAGAGAATTGTATTTCGAAGACAATTACAAATTAAATTTAATTAAAAATACTAAAACTGATGACAAAAGAAGAGTCAAACTATTGGATAGTTTTGTCAAAAATTGTATTTCGAGGAAAAGTTTAAGCGAAGAAATTGATTTGAGGAGCAGTTCATGGATTTCATTGATAACTAACACCAATCGATTGATGAATGTAACAGATATTCGTCCCAATGATGACGGACTCGAACTTGTCGTCCAAAACACTGTGAAAGAGCTCAAGAGCTTACGTTTGTTTACAATTAATTTATTACGAGTTGTATTAGAATTAAACATTCAATTAATGACTTCATTGATAGATTCACTTCCATTTGAATGCATTTCAAACATTTGTATTTCTGTTCAAAATTTTAATAAACTTTTAGTTTGTGATCGAATACAGCCTTTAGATCTGATAGCAATTGTTGCCTCAAATCAAGCAAATATAGCAACAAATAAATTCTTATATTATCTCTACAATGAAATTAATAAAAATACAGAAGTTTTTAACAAAAATAGCATTTTTGTTAAGAAGTCAATACATAATCGATTGAATTTAGAAGAAAATACTTCTGACTATTTTAGCGCCTCTTCTCAGTCAACAGCACTTCCAATGAGTACACAATTTAGTAAACCCACAGCCCGTGAATCCAAACTCATTAAAGATTTTAAAGTAGTGTTTAATGTTTTAATTCAATCAAATCAAAGGATTTTATTAAAGATAATATTTGGTAATCAAGAAAATGTCACTCAAAACATGGTCAAGACGGCTGGGAATCGGCAAAAATGGTTTAAATCTAATGATGTTTCTCATGAAAAACAACAAAAACTAATTCAAATACTGGATAAACAATTTTGGGAAAAATTTTGGCGACAATTTGAAGAATTGATTGAAGATTCACTTTGTTTTTGTGATATTAAACACACATCCGTTCCCATAAGTGTATTATACAATCAGATGAAAGCATTTGTAATCAATAATATAATTGAGTCTTCCGTTCGCGACGAAGAGCTCTTAGAAGAAGCAATTAAGCCGTTAGAGTCAACACAAACTAATCTATCGATTAGACTTGCATTTCATAATTTTAGTCAAAGTATGTATCACTCGATTGTTTGGTGAATATTATGAAATTATAAATGATTTTTATTTTGCAGATTATAACAAATATATCAAATCAATTACAAAAACAAGAATTGAAAGAAAAGAATTTGACAAAAGAATGGGAACTTTAATCGGAGTGAATTTAATCAATACAATTGAGCCCTTATTGGAGATTAAATTCAAATATAATAAACTTGTGATCAATGATATTATAATTGAAAATATTGTTACAAATATAATTCACTTATTTATTACATTTACTCAAAGCAAACGATTATCTGAACTAAACTTTCAATTGTCAACATTTATATGCCTTTCAATTTTAGACATCAATGTAAATACACTGTATTTTATTTATTTTAACTCTTTTTAATTTGAAGATCTCTTATTATTATTAATATTTAATAATTTTTAAATATATTGCAGAATATACATGAATTGCTCTCCAATTTGGATCTCAAATGGATTAACGAATTGAACAACAATTTAAATGCAATTAAAATGAATGCTTTAATAATAGTTAAAGAATATATGTTCACTAAATCTAAAGAATTGATATCAAATGCTATTCCTTACAAACAATACCGAAAAAGTAAATTCTGAATAGTTTTTGATTTATTATAACTTATTAATTATTAAATATTATTACAGAAATATGTTTATCAAACTCTGGATGGATTGAAAGCATAATCGGAATAATGTTGGAACCAATCACTCATATATTACCCAAAGAATCCAATTATGATTCAGCACTTCTTCACTCACAACTTACCGAAGAGTTTGCGAAAGCATTTATTAGTTGTGTTCTTAAAGGGAACAGAATTTACTACAGATTTTCAAACTCAGGGGCCCTTCAGTTCGGCAGAGATGTGGACGCGTTTTGGGATTGGGTTGTGAACCATAACATTCAGGCCACGGATATGAATGCCATCGCATTATTGAAGTCAATCAGTATGTCGTTAACCGGCGAAAACAGACCATTTTCTGCTTTAATTCAAAGATCAAATCGTATCAGTCCTTCAAATACACAAATTCATACAAATCAAGTGTCCAATCGTTATACAGCGAGTCCAGTCATTTCAACTAAATATAACAGTTGTCTCTCTTTCATAACGTGTTCTCATTTATAATATAATTAAAATAC